GTGCGCACACAGCACCATGAAACACGCCTGGGTGCACACAGCGAGTGAGGACGTGCGCACACTGCACCATGAAACACGCCTGGGTGCACACAGCGAGTGAGGACGTGCGCACACTGCACCATGAAACACGCCTGGGTGCACACAGCGAGTGAGGACGTGCGCACACAGCACCATGAAACACGCCTGGGTGCACAAAGCGAGTGAGGACGTGTCTACACTGCACCTAAGAGAGTACCAGAGCCCAGACCTGCTGCCGCTCCCTCACCCAGGGGCTGCCCCCCCCAGAGCAGCAGGGCTCCCCCCCAGGGGACACTAGGTGACACGGACCTGCCACAGCACCCTCCCACCCCCCGCCTGCACCTCAGAGAACAGCCAGGCCTGGCCCTGCCAGAGGCTCCCCTCAGCTCCTGGCTCCCCAGCAGTGCCCGGTGAGGGGAGAACGCAGACTGCCTGCTGATGGGGTGCACTGGGCCCCACAGGAACGACGCAGAGTCTGTGTCCGGACAGGACACTGTCTGGTCACGTCTCTCCCACGCGCCCAGCGCACAGGGCAAGGCGTGCACCCCTCAGCAAAGGGCCTCAGCCCCGCCAGCTGGCACGCAGGAGGCCTGTGCAGCGCCCTGGGCACACCTGGCTGGGACTGGCTGCTGTAAGCACTGAACAGATCCGTCACGAGCAGCTCCCCATGCGACTCTCCATGTGACCCCCGTACCCCACAGGGACAGAGCCCCATCCATCCAGCTACCCCTTCTGGGAGCCTGCCTAGTGCGCCCAGAAGGGCCCGTGCCTAGGAGAGACCACACCCAGCATGTGGCTCTGAGGAGCAAAACCCAAACGAGAACCCGCCGACGTGGGCGGGCTGTGGGCGAGAACGAAACCGGCGCGTCCAGTAAGGAGAGAGACACAGGCCTCTGTGGCAGAGAGGGGCAGGAAGAGCCAGCAGGGAGCCTAGACTCCGCATCCCACCGTTTCCAGCACGCCCCCACAGGGCTTCTCCCATCTGCCCCAACTCTCTGCAGACATCCAGAGCCACACTGCATCCCCACCTGGCCCCTCAGCACACAGCTCTACACGGGGCTGGCTCCTTGTCACGCCCACATCGTGTCCCTCCCAGAGACACCGTGGGCAAAGGCCATCTCTTCACGACGTGTGTAGCGCGCAGCCAGGCAGCCCTGGGCACGCCCTGATATCCCGCGTCAGCACCACCCTGGAAGGCAATTTTCGAAAAGATGGAAATCGGGGCTGGCGGGAATGCAGGGACCCAGGAGAGGCGGGGTAGCTGTTAGCTGCTTAGCACAAAGGGGGTGGACAATTATTGAGGGCTAGCTGGGACCGCCGAACCAGAAGAACGTGGACGCAGCCAAAGGCTATTACTAAGGGCTCTGTCCTGGAGGTCACAGACTCCACGACATCTTCCAGGACTGCCGGAGCAGCGGCCAGACAGCTGAAGTGGGGGGACTGGAGCAGCTGCCGGTGGCCAGCCCCCTGCAGCACTCCGACTGTTCGCCCCCCTTCCCATGACGTTTTGCTTATTGCCTATGACCTGTGCCATGCAGGCTGGACACAGGCATCTCACCAGTCCTAGTCAGCCCTTCTCGGCAGCAGGTACCAGACTCAAACTCCTCAAAGACAAGAGGTCTTTGTTAAGGAATCCACACCCCCATTCCTTCAATTAAGGAAGGGACGGGGCACTGGCAGCTGGCCCCTGAGGCTTGGGGCTCCTCCCAGAGATGGGGAGCCCACGCTGGTGCTCCAGTCCCCCCACTATCTCCCTGTGGGGCTGGAGCACACACAATCGACTAGCCTGTCCCCCTTCCCCCGGCTCTGGTGTGTGAGGAGAATGTGGGCTTCTCAGTCAGCCACAGCAATAAGGGTGGCGAGCGTGTGTGTTGTTGCGGGGTTTTGGTTTTGGTTTTTGCTTCTCGCTTGCGTGCAGCCCCGACTGATTTTTCTGGGGGTCAGTGGCCCCTGAACCAAAAAAAGTTTCCCAGCCCCGGATTAAGATCTGGCAAGGTTTCCTAGGCACATCTCGGGGTCATCCAAAGAGTCCTGCAATGTAAGTTGTGCAAGTCTGGGCTTATCATTCCCAGGTCTGGCAAGTCAAACCGTCTGAGCAGGGTTCAATACTGTCCAATATTCCAGTTAGAATGCCCTGACGCAGGCAGCAGCCGACCTGTTCGATTGCATCACGGTGCCGCTGTCACTTCACTGTGGTTTGCACGTCGTGGAGTTGGAATAACTCAGACCATGGCTGCACTAGCACTTTGGTTGCTCAGAGATGTGAAAAAATGCCCTTTAGTGACATAATTCCACTGCCAGAAGCAGCATTGTGGCTAGTGCTACGAAGGTGGAAGAGCTCTGTCCCACTGGCACAGAGCAGCTACAAAGGAGACTTTACAGGGGCGGGTGCAGTGGTCCGGCTGTGCCCCTGTAAGAGCTCCAGTGTGGGCACAGCCTCTGTTAAGGAACTTGGGTTTTGTAATTAGGGCGATGGATCCAAGCCCAAGTCTATCGGACACTACAAAGACTAAGGCCACGTCTGCACAAGAGACCTTACAGCAACACGGCTGAACTGATGCAGCTGTGCCACTGTAAGATGGCTCCTGTAGCCACACCGTGCCCATTGACACAGTTCAATCACCCACAAGTGGCACTACCTATGTTGGCAATCCAGCGCTATCCGCACAGGCGCTAATGTCACTTGGGAAATAATTAGCCCTTTAAAATATTTCACCATGTTTAACATTATTAGACCAATATTTTATGGATCAACTGACCAATTATTTTTGGACTGGTCAAAGGCCCATCTCTTATTTACTGATATTTCTGTATCATAGGAAACATTCCACTCTTACAAAACAGCTAAAAGGAGACTAACAAACTGGTCTTTCCTTTGCCGGCTGTCTTTAAAATCAAGCTAGACCAAGCAGTGGGAAAAATGCTGAAGAGAACAAACCCTCCAAGCCTAGGGAGGAGAAGGGACCAGAGGTGTCCTGATGGTGTTCTCTGTCTCATGCTCCCACCGCCGTTGTAACTCATTTATCAACCATTTGGTACTAACATGTAGCAAAGGGAAAAGTCAAGGAGGGGAAGACAGCAAATGTGATACAACGCGCAGCACTGTAATCCAGCAAGAGAGCGGAACAGCACCATACAAATACACTAGACCAGGGTTTCCCAACCTATGGGTCGGGACCCAAGTATGGGTCGCCATTACATTTCAAAAGAGTCACCAAGTGTCTCCCCAGGCGGCTCTGTCCCCCCTCCTCCCCCCATTTTTGAATTGCCTTGGGTCACACCAAGTCGTCCTGAATTGTCGAAATAGGTCCACATCTGGAAAAGGCTGGGAACCGCTGCACTAGACATTCCCAGCGCTGAAAGGTGATTCATTTAAAACTGGCAAAAGGAAATATTATACAGCTCATATTAGCCTATGAAACTCTTTGCCCCAAGACACCAACCTCTGAGGTCGGGACTTTAGTGACAGTCAGAAGAAGATGAGACATTTATAATGAGAATATGAACGTATACGGTACACAAGACAGGCTGACATTATAAAAGGTTGTACTTCCCAAAACCGGGACGCCCTCATCCAGCAACATCCATGGTACAGCAGGACTGGGGCTGGGATCAAGTGCTAGAGCCCCAGCGGGGGGCAGCTGGGGCAGGCAGATGATCTGGGGAGCCGGTGGTAGAGGACCCCCTCTGGTCTGGCAAATTCCCTCCTTCAGGACCAGTCAGGTCCCGAGGGTGCTGGACCAGAGAGCTCCAACCTGTACTAAACCTTCCTGCTCCAGGGCATAAACCAGCTAGTTAAATAATGGGCATTCAAGAGAAACTTCCCCCATGGGCACACAATGCCATAATGGGCCTGAAGGGGGGGTTCTTGCACTTTCCTCTGAAGTAGCTGGTGCTGGCTGCAGTCAGAAGTTATGACAAGAAGGCTCTGGAGTGCAGGGGGTTGGAGACGGGAGGTTGTAGGTTCGAGTCCTGTAATATACAAGCAGTCAGACTAGCCCAGTGCTTCTCAATCTTTTTCATACCAGGGACCGGCTTGCTGCCTTCCTAACTTGTGTTAGGAGATCTCAGGGACATGAGCTAGTCCGGTCACGTCTGGCCTTATATTCTCTGATTCTCATTCCTGGCTTGGCCACCAACTTTGCCAGACTGGAAGTAGGTCCCTCCGTCCTCTGTGACTCGGTCTCCATCTGTAAAATGCAAATAAGAACGATTCTCCCATTCTGACCGGTGGGCATACAACACGCAGATGTGAGCCACACCAACGCCCAGATCGACGGACCACTGCTGTGATGCCCTGTTGCCAAGTATCTAACAAAGTCAGTTAAACAGTATCCATGCGATGGGGCATACGAACCCCACCCTGGAGAGGAAGGGGTTAAGAAGCTGCTTTGGGCCCAGGCAGCCCTGCTCACAGGCTCAGGAGCCCCGGGCAGGCAGACAGGCATGTGAGCTGACCTGCACTCCGAGCACCTGGGAAGACATTCCAAAGAGCTTTCTCAACGAGACCTGGCAACAGCAACAGATGCAGCAAGAGCTGAAGTGTTAAATGTCTCTCTTCTTTCAGTTTGCACCAAAAAGTTAGCAGAGACTGGATGATTAACTGGATGAATATCAGTGCCAAGGGGAGGATCTGAGTCTAAAGGGCTTATACAGCTTAGATGCCATTACATCCTAGCTGGCTGAAGAGATCTGCAAGCCATTAGTGATTATTTCTAGAATTCCTGGAGGATGGGAGAGAACACAAAGGACTAGAAAAGGGAAAACATGGTGCTTATCTGTAAAAAGGGGAATAAGTACAAGGCAGGGAATTACAGACCAGTCAGCTTAACTTCAGCTTATCTACAAGTAGAAGCCTTGCAGCTGGAAAGATGAAATCCCTGGGGTATATCTCAACATTAGTAAGGCTTTTAATACTGTTTCACATAACCTCTTAAGCAAACTGGGAAAATATAGAGTAGACAAACCTCCTCTAAAGGTGGTGCACAACACGTTGGAAAAACACACTCAGAGAGTAGTTATCAATGGTTCACAGTCAGCCTGGAAGAGAAGCTCAAGTGGTCCGTAGGGATCTGTCCCACAGCCAATTCTATTCAATATCTTCAAAAACATTTTGTCCAATAGCAGAGAGAGCACACGTGTGTGGTTTGCAGATAATACCAAGCTGGAGGGTTACAAGTACTTGGCAGGTCAGAATCAGAATTCAAACTGATTTTGACAAACTGTAGAAAAGGACTAAAGTAAATAGGATGAATTCAATGAGGACAAATGGACAGTACTGCACGTGCACTGATGCACAATGGGGAATGAGTGTCTAGGAAGGAGTACTGCAGAAAAGGATCAAGAAGTTATAGCAGATTGCAAACTAAATATGAGTAAAAAATGTAATGCTATTGCAAAAAAAGCAAACCCTCTGGGATGTACTAGCAGCAGTGTAGAATGCCGGACACACATAATATTTTTGCTCTGCTCAGCACTGATGAGGCTACAGCTGGAGTACTGAGCCCAGTTCTAGGCACCACACTTCAGAAAAGATGAAGACAAACTGCATAAACTCCAGAAGAGAAGAGAAAGGGATCAAATGTTTAGGAATCATGTCATAGGAGCGGCCAGGCCAGCTCAGACCATAGGTCAGGGTCTTGTCTTCTGACAGTGGCCAATGCCAGGCGCCCAGAAGAAGGAACAGAGCAGGTAATCATCAAATGATTCATTCCCTGTCACCAATTCCCGGCTTCCTCCACAGTCCCAGCCCTCTCCCAGGGTTGGGCTGAACCCTGGTTTCACTTGGAGTGGGCTGACGCCCTGCTACAGTTTCCCTCCCCCTGTTCTAGGCGTTTGCGACTGGCTGCTAACTATGCGCTCCATTATCATTCTGGGGACAGAAGTTAAGCTGGCTGGTTTGTAATTCCCTGGGGGGTTTTTGTAGACTGGCACTCTATTTGCCCTTTTCCAGTCTTCTGGAATCTCTCCCATATTCCACGACTTTCCAAGGATCAGGATAAAGGGTAGCGGGGCTTACATTTCAGTAGGGAGATTTCGGTTGAACACACTGTCCAGGTGGTCAAGCACTGGACCAAGCTACTAAGGAGGATGTGGACCCTCCGTCACTGAAAGTTTTTAAGAACAGTTTAGGTGAGCATCTGCCACCAACGGTCTGTAGCTGATCCTGAGTCCTGGCTCAAGGCATGGGACTGGGTCAGATGACCTATCAAGGCTCCTCCACTCCCACATTTCTAGGACAGGGACCTGACCAAGCCCTGTTATTCTTTGAAGGGCTGAGACTTGATCTGTTGTTTAGACATCTACTGTACCCTGTGGGAAGAGAGGGCGTGGTAATAAGTGATGCAAGGAGGTAGACACTTAGCCACCCAGGGTCCAGGACTCAGCTGGATCCTGGATCTGAGCCTAGTAGAGAGGAGGGTCCAGGCTCCCCTACCAACCTCGAAAGAGGGACAACTATGGAACCCTATCCCTTGGGGGAACCTAGGTTGGGGAAGACTCTGAAGATACGCGAGGCCAGACAAGTGTTCCCTGTAAGCTGGGCGCTTGGGCAGCCGCTCCGTAGATGCTGCTCAGCTGCTCAGCAGAGCGCCCACAGCTAGGTTTTTTGTTTCGACTAGTGGTGCACATTCGCACATGCCTCAGTGCACATAACACTTATTCTGCACATGGATGGGAAAGACTAGAGGGAACATTGCTCCAGACCATGAGAACCCAAGCCAAGGGGGAAGTGCTGAATGCCTTGCTTAGCCCTAAAAGACCTCCTTGTTACCGGACTCTAGATCAACATCCCACAAGCAGTGGCCTTGGAAATGTGACCTGTCTGGAGGGCTGAGCCCACCACAGGGCCAAGCTGTGGCGTGAAGGTAACAAGGAGGCCTTGTAGCTTGTATGGCCCGGCCCGACCTCCAAGTGGCACTGGGGGTGCCTGCATGATCCACTAACACATATTTATTCCAACAGGATTTTCGAAGAGAGCCCACAACTGAAGGGCGTACAAATCAATTGCTCAAGCTACCACTAATGTCCCAGCCAACTCGCGCTTCTGTCAGCTGTGCGAGGGCAGAGCAGGGTTTTCACCCAGCTGCTGAGGAACCACACAAAGGGTTAATGGAACAGCTCTCTGGGCGTGGGTGGCACAGTAACAATGTGAGAAGCCTTAGGGATCTGGGGAGTTCATACGTTCAATTAAGCAACAGTTTAGTCTCACTGCAGCTCAAACTCTCAGCCGCTAACCACTTTTACTGGGTCACAGGAGCCACTGAATGCAGAGGGGGAAGCCACGCTGAATTGGAAGGGTGTGGCTCTTACAGAGAAAAGGGAGAGCTGATGGGAAGGAACGGGCAGTTGCGAGCTCAAAACCTGCTCCCAGGATTTCTGGAGATTCTGAGCAAAGACTGTGCACGTCCCTAGGAAGCACAAGCCCTCCCTGCTCTTATTCCCACCTCCATCAGCTGCCTCCGGGGCGTCCGGAATTCATGCTCTCTGTGCATGCAGAGTGGTGCAGCATTGCTAAGGCCACCGTT